TTAAACTCTGCATTACTCAAGGCGGACAACATATCGAACCTATACTGTGATTAAACATTAACTAAAACAATTTTGCCACATAGTCTATGGTGCGCGACTTCTGGAACACCTTGTACGGTTACATCATGCAGAGGGCAGGAACCCAGGACTGAAACCATAAGGCAGAGTGGGTTCATCGTCTAGCCGATTGAGAGATCAGCATTGAAACAACTAGACCATCGCGTTCACCCAAAAAATCGGACTTGGTGAGTCTGTATTTGAATGCGAGCTCTCAATCCGCACAGTACTGCAGTCAGAAATGTCCCGAGCCTACATGGTGAGTCAGGTGGAAATAGGTTACAGCATTGTTGATCTGCGGTTTTCGATGTTCACACAGATGCCTGAAGAAGCAAAAAAATACTCAAGTAGCCATTGAATGAAGTTTAGTGGTCTGATTGGAGTTTTCATGAAATGTGTGAGACTCAAGGAACGTCAGCACATACAGGGTGGGCCAAAAAACAGGACAATTTTCGACGATACACAACGTGTGCACTTACTGCATATATTTTAATGCAGTTTGCGGCAATTGAAAGTGGAATGACTTTATTTTGAAATGGTCTACTTACAATTTAATTACACTCAGCAGTTTTAGAAATCAGGGAGCTCATATGAACAATAAACAAAAAACTGCATTGCCGCGCACTCGGGCGCAGATGGCATGTGACCTTCAGCCGCCGCCTGTCCATCCCCACTGCTACAAAAACAATACAGAGGCATTCCAGCTCAAGTGATCAAGGGGTGGTTGCGCTTCAGACTCCGATTTGCTTGAAAAAAAAATTGCATGTTGGCAATCAAAACTTATTTTAAAAATCCAGAATTTTGGCTCTCTGGTTCAAGCGGATCGCGAGATATGCGGCCCCAAACTTCGCCCTCAAGAGGAAAAGTGGCCTTTAGGGTTAAAGCGCTATCTTCGGTCCTAGTCGAGCTAGAAACGCGTTTTGAACTCTAAGTAAAGCTGAGACAATGGAAAATTGCGTTATTAAATGCATTTTCTAATAAATTTATTGCAAATTGAGGTACGTAATTTCCAAAATTGTACATATTACAGAATTTTGCACGCAAGTTATTAGCATTAGGATGCATGGTAACACCACGACCTTTCGCAACATTGTAGACTAAGACAATCGCAGATCAAGAACTAAATTTCAATTTCCTGCGTTTTTTGATACAGCGTAAAATTAATTTTGAAAAGTCCAAAATTGCGACAATCTGCCCAGATGGTTTTCAAAATGGTGCGATATTTTAAGACTGGGATGAACGGCACCAGCTGATGAACTCTGCACTGGTCGTCTCAGCATGACAACGCTCGCCCATGCACAAGGAAGCAGATCACAGAGGCAATATCCAGACTCTGGTCAGACAGTCCAATATCGCCATATCCCATAATGTTATTGGTTATTTGCCAGCTTTAAGATGCCATTGTGGGTCATATTACAATTTGAAGGAACACTACTCCATTCTGAAGTCTGAATCTTCTGAAATGTACATGCACGCATGCGTTTAAGATACCGACTAAATTATTGCGTTTGGAAATCCATTACCATGTTGAATTTTGATATTTTATTTCTTAATCCAAGCATATAATAGAAATAGCGATATTTATGAGTCAAATGTGAGATATGCATAGGTCTGGCTGTTTAACCAAGATTCCCATCGCTGTAATTTCAGTCATACCTTTCGTTTCGGAATATGGGGACATCAAAAGTTCAAAAAAACACACAGACAAGAAAAGTAAAATTAACAACATGAGTAATATATCAATGGAAAGCGCTTGGATAGAGCTTTCATTTGACACTACTTATACGTTTATATCATGTTTAAAACAGGAAGTACGGACCGTCAAAGTTGGTGAAAATAGGCAATTTTGGACTTTTCAAAATTAATTTTACTCTGTTTCAAAAAACGCAGGAAATTGAAATTTAGTTCTTGAACTGCGATTGTCTTAATCTACAATGTTGCGAATGGTCGTGGTGTTACTATGCATCCTAATGCTAATAACTTGCGTGCAAAATTCTGCAATATTTACAATTTTGGAAATTACGTACCTCAATTTGCAATAAACTCATTAGAAAATGCATTTAATAATGCAATTTTCCATTGTCTCAGCTTTACTTAAGAGTTCAAAACGCGTTTCTAGCTCGACTAGGATCGAAGATAGCGCTTTAACCCTAAAGGTCACTTTTCCTCTTGAGGGCGAAGTTTGGGGCCGCATATCTCGCGATCCGTTTGAACCAGAGAGCCAAAATTCTGGATTTTTTAAAATAAGTCTTGATTGCCAACATGCAATTTTTTTTTCAAGCAAATCGGTGTCTGAAGTCCAACGAAAGTGACTAAAATTTGACCACTTGAGCTGGAACGCCTCTGCAGTGTTTGTTTGTAGTTCATATGAGCTTCAGAATTTCTTAAACTGTTATTTTGATATTTGAGATATGATATTTGATATTAAGATATTTGAAATGTTAGGACAGCATTTAAAATCTTAGTCATTCCTCTTTCAAATGCCGAAAAACGCATTATAATATATGAAGTGGGTGCAGAATAGTGTATTGCTGAATATTGTCCGTTTTTTTGGCCCATTCTGTATACAGGTATATGGGATGTCCAGCGTGATACTATCGTTCCTAAGATATTCGTGTCTATTGGGAAGAAGGAGCATTAATGTCATACTACTGCTAACATTACGCTACTTAGTGCCCGTGTAAATACCCCCAAAACTTCCTTTATTCCTTTATTTTAAGGACTTTTTGCATCTTCTCCTCCATACTCAAGACGATTCTGATTTTTGCTGCATATCCTCTAGAGCAATAGGTTCTTTTCTTTTGCACTGTTTCCTCCACATTCAAGACGTAGCTGACTTAAGCTGAATTCTCTCTATATACGAGTAAGTTCGACATTGCTGGTTACCGTTCTCGTTTAGTTTCAGCCATAATCCGATAGGACTGTTTTTTTTTTTAGAGATCATTTAGAGACAAGAGCAATGAAAACTCGCACATATTGCAAATCAACAATAGGGTGACCAATTACTGGCCATGAGTGCAAGTTGAAGCATTTGCTTCCTACTGATATATGAACAAATGAAGGTGTTCATGAGATTTTCTGCACTTAAATTCATTGGACCACCCGCAAAAACGATTTTTAAAATGCCGCAGATGTAGGATTTCCTTTCCTTTGCATGCGTGAAGAAGCATGGATATATATATACTCAGGGCCGCCCAGAGGTTTCCAGGGGCCCGGGGCAAAACTAAACCGGAGATCCCTTGGGGGCCCCCTTGAGGCCCTTTGGAGGCCTCCCTTGGGACCCCTTGATACGAGAGGCCCGGGGCAGATTGCCCCAATTGTCCCCCCCCCCCCCCCCCCCCCCCCCCCCTGGCCCGGGGGAGATTGCCCCAATTGCCCCCCCCCCCCCCCCCCCTCTGGGCAGCCCTGTATATACTCACTCAAAAAAGAAACGCATAGTGACAGTTCGTAGTCTTAGTGCGACTATCATTATCTTGGAAGAAACCGGGACTTATCACTGAATATGACTGTTCTCCAACGCATTTGAGCATACCCCATGCCTGTGACACCACTGCAAACAAAAGTTGCCTGTTCTGGTCTTGCAGTACAAACCCACAAAGTGGCTGTCTTTATCTCAAACCTGCTGCCCGTAAACGGTTTGCAGGCGGTTTGAGCTGACATTTTTCACCTTCCAGGTACTGCTGATGCTGTAGAGGTTGCAGTAGCAAACTGATCCTGCAGATGTCTGAGTCGAATGTACTGATCTCGCGCAGGGGTGGTGATGCGTGATCTGCCAGTGCGTGGACCGTCACACGTTGAAGCATGTTGCTGGAACCAGTCCCATAAAATTGAGACGGTACTCTTGTGCACGTTAAAATGTCTTGCAACTGATGACTGGGATTCACCAGTTCCCAATCTCCTAATAATATTGGGGTAATCCGCCTATGAGAGTCTCGGCATCCTTGACGGCTGTACTGCACTACGACTGCCTACCCATTGACGAGAACCTAGCCCTTTTATTGAAAACAACATTACGCGACATTGCACCGAGTTTCATTGAACGAATGGTATCCACATGCATTTTACTAGGTTGTTAGGTAAAACTTCAATTCATGCACAAGCGGTTACAGATCGTGCATATTTAAGAGCGAAATGGTATCATACAATTAAGTTCGCTCCGTATTACTTGAATTAATAGCTATATGTCGTAACTTCATTAAACTGTACTTACAATATAATAATATTTCAACTGTGCGTTTCTTTTTAGAGTGGGTATACATATTCTGCTTTTATGCTAAATTTGTAGACATTTCCACAGGTTAAACAGCACGACTGACCATTCGTAACCATGATAAGGTGGCTGTGGGTATTCGCGACAGACACGACTCATAAATGCCTAAGAATTTGGAAGGATTTAATATTTGGGTTTTCAGGGTCTCAGTTTTGCAGTTCAGGATATTCAGGAAGGTTCACCGTTTAGTCTTCTTGGAAGAAAGAGTTATTTATGTATTTAAATTAGTCGGGTGCTGAAATCATAATACCCCAACAGCCACGATCCCCTCGTCGGATCTCCATGTATTCATATGGGGCTGACACAATCTGATTTCACTCTGTCGCAGACCTGACACGTCATGGCGCAATTGCCTCCCTTTGAAAAGTATGAGTTCTCCTGCTTCAGATCAGCTTACCCATCAATCCATGTGCCGCAACATGGTAAAACAACAGAGTCGGCATTCTGAAATCCCTTCCGATCAGTTCAGTGAAAACCGGTCTCCAGTATGGCGCTCCACTCTTAAGCAGTGATTTTTTAAGTATTCGAAGTAGACTTGCGTATGCCGCATGTACCCAAAACTACATCAACAGTCTTTCATTGAATTACATATTCAGAAAATGAACCTGTTGAGGCGGACCGATGTCCTTTTATCCTAATGAATCCTAAGCGAAGGACATGACAGTCACCGCCATTATCTCCGACGTTCCTCCTCTGCATGAATGCCTGCACCTATGAGTGGCATAATCCTATGAGGATTATGCCACTTCGAGTGCTGACGGCTGGGGACCGGAGGATCTTCTCCTCGCAAATTTCCCTTGTCGTGGACATTCGAAATCTGATTTCAACAAGACTGAAAGATGTCAGCTGTCAGGTTTGGTATTATTTGTATTCGCATTGTATGATCTCAACTATAGTGAAATTTCACGGCTCTCCACAATTCACTACAGCAAGACTCTGAACACACTCCGCTCAGTTGCTGCCTGGGACAATTGAGTCTCTCCCTCCCTCCCCCCCCCCCTTCCCTCATCCGCTTGCTTGTTCACAGGAAAACGACAGAGTTCTGCGTACACTATACATACGTGCGTTGAAAACTGTCTCATCTGAGGACTGACAAGCAAATGAGGTCGGTAATCATAATTATAATTCCCTATCTTACAACTGATTCTTTTTTAGTTGAACCAGGCTCTTAGGTTTTCTTTTTCAGTAAAAGGTAGCAGGTAACAAAACTGCAAACACAGTCTTCTCTTACCCTAAGATGTGTGGAAGTCTCACAACCTCAACAGAGGTAGAAGATATAGCTAAACCTAAATACTTGCTGCCAGTTCGATGGCAGCAAGAGAACGAGAGGTAATCAACTAAAGTTGCTTAAACCGCAAGTGCGGCATAGGTCAATACAGGAATTCTTTACTTGCAGAGTGGTGAACGCGTGGAATGCGTTAATGACGACTTAGTGGCTGCCCTTCTGTGACTATTTAAAAAAAAAGAACTGGATGCTTTTATGGATAGGCAAAAAGGTGGGGGGCAATGTTGAAATTAAGGACCAGGCAGTAAGCAACTAGAATACGCTTTTAAAAAAATACAAAATTTTAAGAGGATTAGAAAATAAGAGGATTAGGCCTACCTTAAAATTAAGGAACGCTCGATCTCGACATGTGATATTGAAATGGGTGTAATCGCCCCTTGATATCACTAACTACCTCGATACCTCGGCCTCCATAAGATTTTAACCCTTTAATGCATGACGTAGCAGATATGCTACATACCAAATAAACATTTTTAGAATGCGCAGGTAGCGAGCTCCTGAGGTAAATTTGTTCGTAGCAGATGTGCAACAGTCAGGTCCTTATACCTAGCAACTATGTAGTCGCTAGGTGCCATACACTCCTGGTGGCAAGCAAATTAAAGCCAATCTGGCTTCGTCGTATGGCAGATTGACGTTTTGGATTTAATTTTCTTATATTTTACGCTAATCCAGGGTCCAGGCTCATCCGTATTTTTACATTTTCTTTTGTGTTGAGGAATGTACGAATGTTGACGAACCAATTGAGCTCTCATGCAGCGTGGGTTAGTAAGCTGAAAATGCTGTTTGTAACAAATTAGCAACAATAACATCTTCGGACCTACTGTTTACAAATTTGATTTTTTCATTTTTCCACTTGACCCGTGTTGTGGAACGTGAGTGAAATCTACCAGATTCTTCTGCCAAAAAAGAAAAAATAATGCATTAAAGGGTTAAAATGTGCCCTCCAGACAAGCTGTTAAAATGACGACTAAGAGTGGACTATTGACAGCCGGCACAAGTCCTTCTGTGTCGCCAACAGACAGACAAGATAAGATGTTTACCTAAGGTGAGCATTTCCGGACGTAGAGGACCATCAGGAAATGGTTAGAGGACTACCATCGGAAGTTTCGGATTTTCCGTCAAATCGAAATCATGAAAGGAATTTTTTTCCATCGGCATTTCATAAAAATGCACTGGTCTAACAGTAAGGAGAGAAAACTTAATAAAAGAAATAAAAATATAGAGGAGCCTGACTGCAATGCATCCGAGGAGGACGACGTGCTTGGAATCCTTGAAGAAAATACGACTCTTCATGAACGACCAGATGTGAATGAGGCGGGAAAGGATGAACAACAGGCAAAAGCTCTCTATCGGCACCGTTGCCTATAAAAGAACAAGAATGATGAGAAACATGATAAGAAACATGAATTTCCTCGATGCGAATCGCTTTACGACTCAGGCAGGGAGGAAACTTGTTACGAACTCACATAGTAGGGAAGGGTGAGGCCTGGGATGGAGGGATCTTCGAATAGAACGAGACCCAGCTGAATTCCGAGGCACAGGTTGAGTAATAGTCTCGGTGTCCGATGATGATACCATTCCCACCTCCTGTAGTTTCCCCAGTAGAATAAAAAAAAGCACACTGAATTGCTGAGAAAAATTAGAAGCCATCATCTGCATGAACGAGATGACCTCTACTCCAAAACAACACGAAATCAAGAGTTACTTGATTCCGCATTATTTAAGGTGAAAATCGAGTATGCCCATGGAATCATATCTAGGAACTAAACTGTCTTGAAATGAAAGGAGCCCTCACTTGACGTATTTCGCTTCTGGGATGAAATGAGAATTCCGACCCGTTCTGGCATCTTCCACGTACGCAGCAGCCACGTACCAATTCTGCCGAATCACATGCAGTGAACGACCGATCTACAATACTCACGTAAGGCTTTTCGATATTTCCATCGAATGGACACTCACCGATTTGTGACTGTCGTCCATGACTGCTCCGTCACACGAGATATGTTTCATACTGGTTTTGAAGCATGAAGACGACTTCGAACGCGATGGACATCTCAGGACAAGGCGGCCCATCAGATATGTATCGAGCGTTTTTTTTATGCCATAAATTGTCGACAGTTTAGCCTAGTGGCAAGGAAACTCGTTGACGGACATATCCCTATTCATCCCTTTCGCTCACTCCCCCCCCCCCTCTCCCCAGGGACAAAACAATCCCTAGTTATCTTAATCATTTTACATGAATATTCACTCACAGGCACTTGTTCTGAAGCACGGGACCCGCCCAATCGTAATAATGGAAGCCAATAAGTTGTTTAATTAAAGCAGATATTACAATGCGAATACTGAAATTAGGGGTCGACTTGCATACTGGATGAGATCAAGAATGCCTTAATGCAAAAAGAGGCTTGAAAAATGGGCTGGAAATATCTCGTGACTGATAGGGTTACGCATCAGTGACAGGGGCAAATGCAAAAAAAGGAAACAATAAATCACTCCTTCCAGCCTTGCAGATTCATAAAGGGGGAACGGAGTTTGTTGACGGGTCAGGTCATGAACTGAGTGAGGCGGTCTGCTGACAGGCGCGAGTGAAGGCTACTGAAGGACCATTAACTAATTGGATTAGAGCAGGGGTTCTTAACCGTTTTGCACCTACGGACCTCCCAGATCCTCAAGTATTTTCGATGGACCCCCACCCCCGGTTATCAGAAACTTTGGAATACCTGGATTTGTGATTATAAATTATGTTTTTCGGGAGCTACCTTCAATTACATATTTAATTTTCCATGGACCCTCCACAGCCCCCCTTGACCTACCCCATGGACTCCCTGGGGGTCAATGGACCCCAGGTTAAGAACACCTGGTTAAGAGCGTGGCTAAGGCGTGCAGAATATAATTAGTTATCGTGCAGGTGACGTCAATCATAGGACGTGAACCCCCTTTCCTATCACTGACGTTATGTGGCGCATACTTTTGCGGTGATAGCACGTAAGGCCATGGTTATACCCATTTTGATGAAGCCATTTGCTCCACTTATTCCCGAGTCTGGATGTGCCAGGGTATGCTGCCAGAGGGTTTATGAATAATGCTTGCAAAAAGAAGGGTTTGGTTAAAGTGATGATCTCTAACATGGAGGGTACAACGAATTAGGCAGCTGCCCTCTGGGGTCCAAAAAAAACTCCAGGTCAGTAATGATGTTCAGGCTCACGCGCGAACTCCAAAATTAGTACAGTATACCATATTTTCCCTCTTAGAGCACGAAGGACGTCAATAACGGTCCGGTACTTTTGGAGATTCGAAAGGACGCGGAACGAGAGGCGCTCTGAAAGTGCTTGGAATAAAACACTTCCTGTTATCCTAGTCATGAAATGCTAAAGGGGTGTGGCCTTTCTGGCAACATGTCGAACATAACATTTCAGACTTGCCTATGCATTTTGTGGAATATAGTGCCAGATGACCTTTACCACTCCCATCACTTCTTTTATTTTCCTCTTGACGGCTTGTATCGACTAAAGTCCAACCTCTCACCATCATTTTATTATCCTATTGACAGGATTTATTTTCAAGGCAGAGTCATGCTATTGTTACGGATTTTGGAAATTTCCGCGCAATCCGACAGTATGTTGACTTCAGGAGATCCCTGAGATCAATTTTGGGAGAGACGAACACAAGGATTTGAATTGTGGAAATAATGAAGTTTATTTCTAGATGAGAGTTTGTTTCTGGGCTGGTACCGGGTGTAGCATGGACTATGGGGAGTCGTCGGAAAGTGCCAAATCTTAGTGAAGAGAGTCGAATCGGAGTTGTCACTACATTTTTCACAGGCGTCGGTTTCGGGGGTCTCGAGGAAATGACCCCGTCGGGGGGTCGGAGTAGCGAGGTTAAAAAATGTGGGAAAAGAGCAAGAAAAAAAAAACCTACGGAAAATCCGGATAACTGACGAGTTGCTGAGCGACTGGGGCTAGCGAACTGTCGGTAACAACAACGTGAGCGAGTTGTCTGATGACGAACTGCTCCTATTCGCGGGTGAAACGTCGAGCACTCGGGCTTTTCGACGAGTTACCGTGAGGGAGGACGAGAGCGAGTTGTCGAGCTTTGGAGTTGACGAAATACTTTTAAATACTGTGTGGAAGGTGAGATGTCGAGCGACTGGGAATGACGATCTACCTTCGCAGACACCTGAAACGAGTTGTCGAGCACTCGGGCTTTCGACGAAACTGCTTCAAGTTGTGTCCCCTTTTAAAGAGCTGGGCTCAGAGCACGGAGAGTGATCAGTCGAGGACCCATCCAGCTCCAGAGACAATGCACTATTGTGAACAATGAGTGACTGGTCTTGGAGGGTGTTTGGGTCCTGCGACGATGCACGAATACTCTGCTTTCTGCTGGATCTCTGGGGCTTTTATACTGGTTGAAATGACCGTTAGTGACGTCATTTGAGAAGAAAAACAAGCAGTGTTCGTGATAAGGGGGTGACTCTGGGATGAAGAGAAAAACATTGCTGACCTCTTAGAAGGGGTTAACGGTCCTGGTCACAATAAAAATCTTTTAGAGCTTTGTACAATCCCGCGACATCCAAATTTACAGATTTAATTATGGATTTAGCCCCATTATCTGAAATAATGTGAACGGAGATACTTACATTGTGGGGCGTCACACTATAATGCACGGTGTGTTAGGTAGTAAAACCCTTCGTCTTCCAGCCATCCCTGAACTTTAATCAAAATGTGAATATGGTTAAGCTGTGAGTGCCTCGCCTTTGTATCTCCTAATAGAAACATTGACGATGTTTTTAGGAGATCCAAAATACTGAGCAAGTACAAGTAGTATCGATAAGTGCTTTAGTAAGATACTGAATTATCTGCATTAAATCCTGAAGGAACTGAAAATTGCAAATTAGAACTCAGGCTGATGGAAGTTGTATTCACTATAGAAGGTCGGGTAGGAAAAAAGTATATTGGCTTGGCTATCTGCATTGGCCTGCTTCAGTAATACAATTCCTTGTTTCACAAACCAAACCGTAGACTTTTCTAGACATTGACATGCCATTATTTGACATTATTGATCGGTTAGGGTCGCAAGAGAAGAGTTTTTACCCTTATTTGGTCCCTACAGGTCTCTATAATAAAAAAGAAACGAGACAGGAGCCCATAAAAATGAATAAAATCCATCCTGTCCATCAGGCTTGCTCCGCATTGACATCATACGTAACAGGATCTTGAGGTCAATGATCGGAGGTATTGAACTGCTTCGTTGTGTAGGCTTTGGAAGCGGGCCGGGTCAAGCGCGGACATGACTTTTCCCCCCATTTTAACTTCCCAAGATAATGGCTGAGGGCAAAAGTTATCAATCCCCTCATCCCGGAATTCCACACTCGTCTCTCGACGGGGAAAAGACGAAGGCAAGGACACGTGGTTCTGAACTGGTTCTCCTGGAATTCATCCTCGTGAATACTTTATTTTTCAGGCTCGGCTTGGCCACGTTCCAGAAGAGGACTCTAGTCGGTGGGGGTGTGACTGAACCCGGGGTGCGGGTTGGACTCGGGTCTCAAAATCTCGGTCCGCCCCACAGAAAACACAGGGCCCCACTTGGAGTTTTCTACAGAAAACTTCAAGTGCTGCCCCATTCCAAACTGACCAATCTGTGATGGCAACCTGGACTGACGAGAAAATTGTCCCAAGGTGTGTTTAAAACGGCTTTGTTGCAGGTCGTTATTTATTTTATACGGAGTTTTTTTTTATATTAGCGTAACCCACGAAAAATGGCGTAACTTTATAGATAATAAAGCTAGCAAGTTAAAATTTGGCACAAACCAAGATCCAATCATGCACTACCAATCTTAATTGTAGCAGATGCTGGAATTAATCCCGTCATTCCCTATGCACAATTGAGCACGATGTAGCAAGTTTTCACAAGTACGGCGTAGTAAATCAAGTCCCAATGCTGATCTTAATTTCCTCCTTTCGCTGTGGAATGGTACGAATGCTTTTTCGGTAAACAGTAACCTTAAAGTAACCCCGAAAGAAAGCAATCGGGTGGTGCGAAATCAAGAGATCTTGGTAGACATAGGTCTCCAAAGAGCGACTGAAAGTGCTCCATGCACTTTCCATGCTCTCTGAGGTAGGGCATCTGAAACCGTCTTTCTGGAAGTAATCCTGTGGGAGTTCAATGACTTCGAACTTATGGACCGATTCATCAAACATGGAAAAATCAAATCATCAATAATGGGGTTACTTGAAGGAAACTGTTTAACGCAACAATCCTCACCATTCTGTAGCTAAAAGAGAACATTAGAAACATCATTTGGGTCTTCCCTCTCGATGTACCGTGCCGTACGTTTTGAAAACTTGCCGCGTCGTGTTCAATTGTGCATAGAGAACAAGGGGATCAATTCCAGCATCTGCTGCACTTGAGATTGGTCGTGCATGGTTGGATCTCGGGTCATACCAAATTTCAACTTGCTAACTTTATCATCTGAGAAATTACATTTTTTCCATGGGTTGCGCTAAAAAAAAAAATACCCTGTATTTGCACTCCATACCCGTGTGGCACAGCAACGTTGAATAGACGTTGAATATACGTAGATATCTCGACCTGGAGACGTTGAGTAAACATCGAGAGTACACGTAGACTCGACGTGGAAATGGGAATATGATCTACGTAGAATAAACGTAGATTTGGAAACGTTGAGTAAACGTTGAGAGTCTACGTAGAATCGACGTGGAAATGGGAATATCATCTACGTGGATTAAACGTAGATTTGGAAACGTTTTTTTTTCTGTGGCTTTTCCAATTACTCCTTCCATCGTAGAGATTCGCAAGGAATACAATCCAACCAGGAAATTCCCCAACACAAGAGATATATTTCGTTTTCGCCAATTTCTCCCAATATTAACATTTCCAGAATAAACAGAACTTGAAGGAAAATAAATCACATATTGCTTTGACCAGATTTCATCAGATGATCACAGTCCAGTTCCACTCGCACTCTCTCGGCATC